TTGTTTCGGCACCCTAAACCCTAAGACCCTGACCCCCTGACCCCCTGACCCACGTTGGCCTTGTCAGCGGCAGAACAGGTCATCGTGGAAAAGACACATGTGTACAGGGACAAACACATTCTCCCTCGTCCGTGGCCTTCCTTCCGTCCTGCATTTCGCGATGCGCACACCCCTTTTAATGTAAGCCCGCAACTGCGCCCCCGCCGTCTCGCCCAACCCCTCCTCCCTGCTTCCTTCCCACTGTAATTCCCCCCGGCGACCCGTCCAGAATGGCGCCCCTCGCATGCGCCGCCCCAGACCGACCCTGATGCATGCGCGGGTCGGCGGCCCACCGACTCATGCGTATCAACCCGTCCCTTCAGCCTGTCAGACCCATACCTCGGCTCCCCTCCCTCCTGCCGTCCGACCCGGCCACAACACGCCGCTGCTGTGGCCTGGCACCGCAAGGGCCCCCCGCATGAGGCGGGCGGCGCCGGCGCGCGGGGCACCCTGACAGGGATGGCGGAGCCCGGCGGCCCCCGCGGGCGCCCCGGCGTCCAGGACCTGCCATCCGACTGCGTCGTGCGCACCTTCCTGCTGATCGCCGACGTGCGCGACGTGCTGTCGCTCCAGGCCACCTGCAAGCGCTTCTGCGCGCTGGGGCGCTCCAGGCTGGTCTGGAGACCGCGGCTGGAGACGGACTTGGGCATAAGGCTTGAGGTGATAGGGGCAAGGGAGATTGGGGTGGGGTGTGTGGGTGGTGGGGGTGGGGGTGTTTGGACGGCTGGCCCATGGGCGGTGGTTGAGAGCGGCATGGGGCTGGCGCGTGCTGTGGGCTTCTCGGTGGCGGCAGCTGAGGTTGGGAATGCGGGGAGCGCCTTGGGGGCATGCGGCGGTGCCGGTCTTGGGGCATGGGGCCGCGGGGCGATGGCGGTGGGCCGGACGGGGCGCGGTGTCACCGGCGAGGGGGCAGTTGGCCGCATGGGGGCATGCGGACGATGGGCAAGCTGCCTGGGCTGTTCTTGGTTGCGGGGCTATGGCACTGAGAGGTGGGTGTGTGGGGGAGGGGTGGGGATGGACGCAGATATTGCGTCGGCTTGGCGACGGGTCGCCACGGCCGCCTGCGACGCGTCTCCTGCGCTGGCTGGTGCGCGGCCCGCGCGACCCTGCGCCTTGCTGGGCCCCCGGCATGGCAGCTGTCGGCCGGCTGCGGCTTGCCGCGCGGGTGTTGGTAATGACGACTGGCAGTTTGCTGGAGGAGGTCGGGGTAGTCATTGTGTAGGCGGGTTGAAGGGCGGCGTGCCGAGACGCGACCCGGCGCGGCAGTGGCGAAGCGGCCTTGCGGGGGTCGCCGGAGGTATCGCCGGGGTGTGGTCGATCCTCCATCGTCGGGGGCATCTGTCAATGCTGAGGCAAACCCGCGAAATGTGATACTGCTCTGTCAGGAGGCGTCAAGTTTTGGGGCCAGTGATGCGCCTTGAGCTTTCGGCTCCGGGACTTTGTCACATGACAAGCGCTGCCGAGGGGGGCGCCGACTCGGGCAGCAGGAACATAGGCCATGGCTGTGCATGTGGGCACCATTATTTTGGGCTTATTCGGTCCCTTTTGCATGGATATGCTTCGATTGGAAAACCCTAGCACAGCCAAAGCAGCAGCCTCCCACAGTGCGCCGAGCCACTTGCCGTAGAACCAGACGCCCGCAGTCTGGATAATGGCTTGCTCTCAGAACCAACACCGTGAACACGTAACACGTGTGATCCAGCGCCCATGTCAACCACGACCTGTTGTGCCTTGTGCACTCAGAAATGCAATTGATCCCATTGGCTTGCAGTTGGTAGGGCTGTCAGTGTTCTTGTGAGAGGCTGGCTCACGTCCCTTCACCCGAATTTGTGCATTGCTGAATGCAGCAACGTCTGGAGGGTGATGAACTTTCTCTCCAGCGACTGTACTGCAAAGCCGTCACAGGCAGGACGGACGTGGTTCGTTTCTGGGGCGTTATGACTGATGGAGGCTGTGACAATGACTGGCTCCATTATTGGGTAAGGTGCCTTTGGCAGAAATTTGGGTAGTACCATGCAAGTGTCAGGGATCCTGGGCAGCAAGCTGCACTTGTTGAACACTGTGTCTTGTGTTCTGAAGCGAACTTGCAAGCTGTGGGTGCGATGGTTCCTCAGTTGCACCTCGTGGAATGGCTGAGGTCGTGTTTGTAGGTTGCCATTGGATGAGAGGACTGTTTGCTGTGCTGCAACAGAAGTTGCTGGCAGCTGAATGTGTGTTTGTGTGTGTGTGTGTGTGTGTGTGCAAAATGCAGGTGGACAACCTGTTTGTTCCTAACCACTGGGAGTCGTTCTGCAGCGCTGGAGGGCGCAACGTGCATTGCTTTGGATTGTTGCTGGTATGTTCCAGGATGCCCTTAGTGCATTTGACCCGTGTGTTTGACACACACACACACCCCCCGGGGGTTGACAGCTATGCTCACATACAGTGCTTGATTGCCCAGCAACAATTGCACAGCCACCACATGTTAAACTTGGCAATTGCACACCACGGAGTACTTCTGAACCTTCATGCCGGTGCCTTGTAGGGTGAGGAATTGGAGCAAGATCGGCGGTCTGCGGCTGACAGGGAGTACATGATAAGGAAATGTCGATATCCTGCTGCCAGACTCTTCAATGAGCACTTCAACCGGCGGTCCATCGACAACGCATACTCCTTGCTGCAATGCTGGTCGACCCCAGGTGTGCACACTGGTTGTGTGGTGCTGGCGGGGCTTGCGGGACACCTGTGGCATGGATGTGCTGGTAGAGGTTTGGGTGCATCTTGAGGCGAGTGTGCAGGCATTCAACAGCAAAGAGTCTTGGATGTTAAGTGACCATGCAGGACAAATCTCTTGGCATTTCCACACGGTTGGGTTGGCAAGGTGTTGTTGAAAGTATAAGTGCAATCAACCAGATATTTCACAGGCATGGATGTGCCAGTGGGTTGCATGTCAATTCATGGATATCCGTTCTCAATGCATGCAAAATTGATCCTGTGCTGGCCAACCTCTTGGTGCCCAAAATGTTACCTCGACACTGGCGTAGTCCAAGCACCAATGTTTGACAACTGTGTTTGCTCCTTGCTGCAGAACTGGAGCACTTCGTCATTGCACTTTACCATGACCTTCAGAATGGTGGTCCACTTGGAGCTTTACTGGAGATGGGCCTCCAAGGGCAGGAACTCCAAAGGGAAAGGGTGGGTGGCACAATGGAATGCCTGCCCTCTGGGCGAGTGGTTTTCCACCGGTATATGTGTCCAGAAAGCGCAGATGTACTCATTCACCTTCCTTAGTAGGTGGTGCACAGCAGCATTGTCCAGGACATTTGCTTTGACCCCAGCATCAACAGCGGTCCAGATGCAGTGCAGTGCTCACACAGAATGGGTTGCCTACTACCTGCCAGCATCATCTTTGCTGTCATTCCCCAGATTCAAATGGTGTGTCATATTGCACAGTGCAGTTGCACTTGTGAAATAGTGTTTGTTGCTGTTATCATGTTGGCAAATTGGCTGTGTGTTGGTTTAGGTGCGTATGCGTGAACTCATTCGACGGCTTGAACACCAGGCCACAGTGAATGCGAGGGGCATCATCACAAGAGAGGGCAAGCCCAGGAATATTGGAAAATGCAGGAATGAGGGGAAGACCAAAAATGGACTTGTTCTGTATGATAGCCTGTGCACAAACGTGCTACAGAGCATGGAACGGCAGATAGTGGGTATGTGCAAAGAATTCTGTATGTGTTAGCTGATGTCCCTACTATCGCTTTGGAAATCTGAGTCTGAGCTGTGCTGGCAATGTCCTACCTGTCTGTCAAGCTGCCACTGTGCACTTTGAACTCTGCTGGCCTGTTTCCTTTACTGCATAGTTGAAGACAAGGATGAGGCTCATCCTGCTTCCAACGTTGAGTTGCTGACCCTGTGGTACTGACTTTGTAAGAGAGAGCATCCAGGTCATGCATTGGGCACCCCCGCCTCTCTTGATCATGTGCTGATGCATGAGGGCCTGAGCTCAGCGAGTTTAGCCCAGGATTGCATCCACGCGCCACAGCATAGCTGCACTATTACTGCTGAAATTTTGTTGTGATTGTTCCGGCCCATGGGGTATCAGAACGTGAAGCTTCATGCAGCATTCTTGCCCACCCTGACACTGTGCTTGGGAATTCCTGAGTGCTGATTACCTAACAGCTGATGTCCTTACCATTGCCACATTCTTTTCTCAAAACCGCTGGACCTCTGGTTGTCAAGGTGCCTATTCCATCCAAATTGAGAACTTGCCAGCAGGGGTGGTGACAGTTGCTCTGTATTAGGTGTCATTGACCGCCTCATGGTGTCAAGAAGGGGGAGCTTCAGTTGCCCAGTTTCTTCAGGTGCCATATTTATGGGAAACCTCACAGACTGCCACCAGCTCAAGACACACGATGATGTTGTGGACTGCCTTCAGGTGGGATGTGGAGTTGGTGTGCTGTCTCTGTAGCACAATGTTAAACACACTTTATTGCACATTGTGGTTTTAGTCAAGTTTCACGGTATGGAAAAGTGTCTTGCTTGCCAACTTTGCTCAAAAGGAGGGGCTGTGCTTTTTGGTTTCAAGACAGTCATTGGCACTGCAGTTGCAGGAGTGGTTTTGTAGTGGCAATAAGTTGCTGTGACAAGCACAGCTCCAAGCATGGCATTGTCCCTGCTGGCGCAAATCTTGGGGTCACGAGTGTGCCAAGATCAGTAATGGAATATGTGGGTCTGATGCTGTCTGGTTGCCATGAACATGACGAGTTGCTGGGTTTCACTACCAGCCCCCAGGCACAGGGTCGTTGCCAAAATGCCGGTGGCACCAGCCGTAAGTCACTGCTGATGCCCATGTGTTTTCTTTCCCAGCAAATGACATACACCCCTTACTGCACCGCGCTGAACAACCTAACGGACAGGGCGTCGGTATGCCTTGAATCGGAGATCGGGCACCTCCCACCGATCGTGGCCATTCATTCCACCCTGGCAGGCGAGTGGATGGAGTTCGATGTTAGGGCAAAGTCACGGAGCAGCTTGCGGCCACTCATTTGGTTCCACTTTTATACTAAGCAAGAGTCGGATGCCGCAAGGGCACAGCTGCAAAAGGGGCCAATGGGAGAGTGCTTATTGGGCACAAGTGGGAGTGAGGGCTCGGAGGAAGAGGAGCTAGCGGAGGACGTTGCAGAGGCCTTGTTCCATGGGCCACAGCAGGGAAACCCTGCAGCAAGGAAGACGACGGGAAGAGACAGGTGAGTGGCCAGCAGCTCTTTCGTTACTCGAAGCGAGCCTCAATTGGTCGGCCATCGCCTGGGTATTCTATATTGATGGGTTGATTGTGACTGTTATGGCAGCTGGTTGCTGATGTCTTGCTGGTTCCTGATGCTAGAGCCTGGACTTGGTGGTGCACTGTCCACCTGTACAGAGGCGTGCGACTCATCGGGAGGCGGAGTACCTGTGCATTGGTGCTTTGAGCATTGCGAAGGCTACCCTCCTGCCCTGCTCCCTGTGTTTTGTCAATGCCAAGGTGTTGCTGTCAGTCCAGTGACATCGATGCACAAAAAGATGCATTTTCAAGCTCAGGAACCTACAGTTGGCGCTAACAGAAGTTCCAGACAGCTGGACTTGATCAGTTGGACTCCACAAGTGGTACCCCCTGTGTGGGCGCACCTGCAGACTGACTGCGGTTGGAGGTCTGACCTTGGTGTGTCCACTTCATGAACAGGCACACAATGCACTGACTGATGCGTTTCTGTTGGCTCAGGCTTGATGTGTGGTTGAAGCAGCGAGTTGCTGCCAATGTTGTGTGCGTCAAGCTCATAAACCAAGAGGATCTGATGAGCCAATGGGGTGACGATCATGAGGCACCGAACATTGATATCAACTGCGTAGCCTTTAACGGACAGAGGGTTGTTTTGCCTCCTGGCATGCAGCTTGCATGTTAATAATAAAGGAATATTGCAGGAAGCATCCGGGGATGCGTGTCCGCGACCACAAGAAGTCAAAATGGCTGTGCATGTTGAGGCCCTGTGCCAGGCCTCAAATGGCCGATCATTGGGCGGACCGTGGCACAGGGCATTTTTTTTCACAGATTTTGGGTCCTGTCTGTGAAACGTCCTTCATTTTCTGTGTATTGTGTGGGATGATGGGGGAGAGGTGTAGGATAATGCGTAGCGTGCAGGTTGTCCGGGTGACATTTCTTCTTTTGCTAGCTGATTGACTTCTGGGTTTGCTCCACGACCCAATGCTGTCAGTGTGTAGTTGCAGGCTATGCTTCGCTGATGTGACATGCTTTCGCGAGGATAGGCCCAGCAGGCACCGTGGAATGGGAGGCGACGGGTGGAACACCACTGAATCCATTCGGCTTTGTGTATGCTGTGAGAATGTTTTGGAAAGAAACAACTAGCATTGTTACACCCCGGTCATGCTGAGCGCATGCAGGAGAGACCATGGCGCCTGGTGGTGAGGGGAGGGGAAGGGAGGCAGCCGTGCAGCTGGTGGTTGGCAGCCATGTGCATGTGAGATTCGGTGCAACTTTTGCATACCTCACTTGAGCGTTTAGCACGATGGATGGTGCGAAGTTGAAGACAGGGAGCAAATGAAACCTCTAAATATGGTGCGAAGTAATTGTGTAAGTTCTCAAAATTCTTCCAATTGTGTTACCTGGGTGCTTGTGTCTTCTGCAAAGGGTCTCTGCGTTTCTTGCTTCAGAGAGTGCATGTGCACGTGCGCTTGTGCTCAGATGACTGACCACAGTGACATTGTTTCATACAGTGGAGCTGTGACAACCTTAATTTCCAGTAGAGTTCCTCTGTGCCAAGCCGTGCTTTCAGAATATCACATCATGTAACTGTACATAGCGCGTATGTGAGACCAGCAGGTGAGCTGATCATGTCTGTGCGGGAACTCGACTGTTGGAACGGTCAGGAAGGCACCATACAGTTGATATATCTTTTAGTTTTTGCACGAATACCGCTCAAATGGGTGCTAAGAAGGGCACCGCCGGTAGACGATGAGGGGCTCACGTGATTGCACCGCAGTCACAACAAATCAGGAAGGGGCTCGTTTGGGCCTCGGTTCATCAGTCCACCACCGTTCCTCCCACTGTTGTAACCACAACTGATGGAGTATTATCAACAGCTGGACGCATAAGATGTGCTGCGGCTGTAGGAATTGAGTTAGGGACATTGATGAGCGGACTGGATGTAAAGGACAGAACTCCTGTTCTCCCGTTGCCCGGCTGTAAACCGCTGTCGTGTGCTCGAGCCCACGTTCCCCAATCAGGGGTCGTCACCCCTCAGCGCTTCGTCACCACCATGCCTCGACGATGCGATTCTGCTGTGCTGGTCATTTGTTGCAATGTTGTAACTAGGACTGATTGAGTAGTATTAACAACTGAATGCATGAAGAGGTGATGAGGCACTAGGAGCTGCATTAAGGATGTTGATGAACGGATTGAATATAATTGTATTGCTTATAAGGGACAGAATTCCTGTCCACCCATGGCCTCGGCTGTAAACCGTTGCCGTGGACTAGAGCGCATGATCCCCGTTCAGGGATCGCCACCTTGATCCTGCCTGCCTTCGTCAGCGATATGACACTCTAGAACGTCGGCGACAGGGCTGTGTGCGGAAGGACCACAGATCGCGCCCCGGGAGATGGGGAGAGATCCCATACCTGGAAGATTGCTTCCAGCCCCGCCTTGGACTCGCAGGCACGCGCCCCTGCCCTCCCCCGCCTCCCCCTTGAGCCACCTGCCCGGTCGTCTGTGCGCGCGTCAGCCATGGCGAGCTCCTTCTTGGGCAATGCCACTGGCCTGATGGCCAAGACGCAGGGAACCACGGGGGGCCAGGTGTGTTCGCCTGCGCGGCGTCGCAGCGACAGCGATCGTCGACGTGTGTGGACTGGGAAATTTCAAACGTCGCGCACGTTTGAAATACACACGTCCGCAAGGTGCACTGGTCTGTCGCGACGATCGCTTGGCTGGCTTGGGCGCTGTTCATTGTGGCGACAGTGATGGCCAACATGCGTTAGTCCGCGACCCTGAATGATGGCAGTTGGCTGCGTTTGTGCCCTTGGCGGTCGGTCCTTACCGTTCGCTCGTGCGACGTCGGCCTGCAGCGCATTGTCGAGGAGAGAAAATCGCTTTTTGCTCGTTTGCAAAGACATGCGACGCGCTGCCCCGTGTGTCGCAGGGCCTTGGCCTTGTTGAACGCTCAGTTGGTGGATCGCCCTCGGGTCCTGGTGCACATTTGCGGCGTCGGCTGCTTTCATTTTGCGCCACATTTCGCGTTTGGGTTATGGGATCGGTCTGAATTTGTCGTGCATCCTGGTCTCCTGCTGCTTTCCCATTCCGACTTGGGTTCCTGGGCGCAACAGCACCCGATTCGTCCAGTGCGCCTCTTGCTTTTTGTGGAAGAAGAGATGTCCGACCCCAAAACGCTACCATGTGAGGTTGCCGCCGGTTTGGCCGCAGTTGCCACAAGGAATATTGGCATTGCAGCCCCACGATCAGCATACCATTTGCGAGGGGCTACTGTGGTGCTGCCAGTCGGCACCCGGTGGATACAACGGAGCGGAATTGACCCCTTGCTATCCTGCCACTGCTTGAACGTCAGTTGCGATGCTGCTGTGCAGAAAATGGCCACCGTGATGAGGCGTACAGTGAAGGGCGGCACATCCAGCCCCTGGTATGGCCCCAACAGGCCGCTGTGGCTTGGACCCCTGTCCCCACCCCCCCCAAAATACCTCAATGGAGAGTTTCCAGGCGACTATGGCTGGGACACAATGCGGTTGTCTGCAGACCCTGAGACGTTCAAGAAATACAGGGAGACTGAGCTGCAGCACGCCCGATGGGCCATGCTTGGCGTTGTTGGCTGCCTCACTCCAGAGATTCTCTCCAAGTATGGAGGGGTAGACTTCGGGGACGCCGTGTGGTTCAAGGCTGGGTCGCAGATCTTTGCCACTGACGGACTCAACTACTTGGGCAACTCCAGCCTCGTGCATGCTCAGTCGGCACTGGCGATCGTGGGATGCCAGGTATGTATTGGAGCATGGCACAGGGAGAAACCAGCTCCATTATTGTTGCTGTGTGTAGTAATTAGTACATCAACATGAACGTTGTATGAATGCAGCTGTTTATCAATTTGCTGCTCTTGCTGGAGCCAAGAGCAACAGGCCGTTGCCAGCAGCAAGGCTGTGTTGAATGGACTGCTATTCCCCCTCGTCAAATAGAGACCAATGAATGCGGTGTTTGATTCCTCTTCAGCTGAGTGGCTGCCCCATCCAAGTAGGCAAGCTGCCTCTGTTGTGGGCCAGCTTTTGTGGCACAGCGACCTGGATATGGTTAAGACAGGTTGAGTGGGTTCTGACAGCCGTCACTTGTGTGCCCAGGTTTTGCTGATGGGCACCTGTGAGGGGTACCGGGTGAATGGCGGCCCGGCTGGGGAAGGCCTGGACAGGAACTACCCTGGTGGCGACTACTTCGACCCCTTGGGCCTTGCGGACGACCCTGACACCTTTGCAGAGCTGAAGGTCAAGGAGATCAAGAATGGACGGCTGGCCATGTTCGCCATGTTCGGTTTCTACGCCCAGGCGATCTGCACCGGCAAGGGTCCTGTGGAGAACTGGGTGGCGCACGTGTCTGACCCATACAATGTCAACGGGTTCAACATCTCCACCAAGTTCACGCCCCAATAGAGGCCAATGATTGGAAGATGCAGCAGGGGTTTGAATGAATGTGGAGGCCACAACGTTTGCTGGATTGGGCTTGTCTGACCACTATATTGTAACTGATGCTCGTACATACACAAAAGGGTGGTTAGCTGGGGCCACTTTCCTCATTATGGAAGCGTCGAAAGAGCAGCATCAAAGCTCTCTCTGGAAGTCGTCTGTTGCAGCCGCTTAAGCCACCTGTGCCGGCACGCCTGCACCAATCTGCCAATGGCCCGCTTGTCAGAGTGCAGTTCCTCTTGCTGCTTCTGCGCTTGTGTTCATCGTTGCGCCCACACTGAGACATGCTTGGACAGCCACAACGGGAGTTAAGAAAGCCACGACAACGCCAGGAAGAGCCAACATGCCCTGCGTCAAACTCGGGCAAGCTTTGCCGACAGTGTGAAAGCGATCCGAGGTGCATTTAATGGCACCAATGCCATGAACACATGCCGCCAAACCCTGCCCTATGGAACCTCAGCAAATGTTTGACGCTGCCTAGCCATTTCGTTTAATGGCTGAGCCAGCTGGCAGGGATGAGTGATAATGTTCTGTGATGTTTCAATAACCGTGGAGATTATGGCTGGTGATTTTCCAGCCGCAGGGCCGAGAGGGTGCATGCAACTCTCACTATCAGGACAACTTTCAACGCTGTCAGGCAGGTTCCGAAGAAACTCACTTAGATTGCATACCACAGCCAGTGAGAGTTACATTCACATTTGGAACACCCTTCATGACTTGATAGTCAGGTTCTAGTTAACCAAGGACACAAGTTCACTACAAGTTCCAGGTGTTATGGGTCACTAGTTTACTCTTACTTGGTCACTTCATGCACTTATGCAAAATAGTGCATAGAGCCTCAGAACAACAAGCTGCCCATATTCAGCCGAATGTTTGGCCACTTTCCTCACCCACAGGTCATATCCAACAAGAATAGTGCTAGTAAGAAACCACTTTGCAAGAAATCACAAAGTTGAAGACAGATGGCTGCAGATTCCCAGCCAGATGCTCACTAGATCAGTACTGATGCTCCATGGGTTTGTTCACCAAGTGGCCACAAACAGCAAGGAAACACAATCAAGAGAGGAAACACAGTTGCCCACACCTTCACACACACACACACATGCACACTCACTCCCAAGCTCACACACACAAGCACTGCAAGGACAACATGACACGATGTAGTTCTGCACACACCGAACCTCGGCACTGCCCGTGCGCCTGTACGTGGACAGTAGTCGGCTTGTTGCGTCACCGCGTCACCCATCCGGTGACTACACAGCCAAGCTGCGTAGGTGGCAAAGGGCCCTCGTTGGGGCTTACAGATCGTTCGGCATCAACACACACCCATGGCAAGGAAAAACAGACAGACCAACACTGCCACCAACCACCCCTTTTCCTTCCCGCATGGTCCAATCAACAGAGGCATCAAAAAAGAAACTTGCCCCTTCATGTGTGGCTGTCCATCCCCAATACCACCCCACGACCCTTCCGTTCACTTTTTTATAGTACATTACTTCAACCCATCAAGTCACCCCGCGCCCACGTGATAATCCCAGCTCGTTGGACCAACCCCCGCCTGGGGCCACACCCCCGGCTCCTGCCTCCCTCACCCGCGTCGCCACTCGCTCGCCGGCAGCTGCACCGGCTAAGAAATCTGCGGCCTCCTCCTACACGAGGGGCCCCTCTATTACGCACATTGGGCTGATGTGGGGGACGCCCTACTCATGTTCTCTTGGCATGGGGGACGCCCTGCCCAAGATATGGTAACAACCTCTCCAAACAACACTACCCCTAAATACTATTATACAATATGGGAGTAGGTCGGGGTGGTCCCGCCTAGGTCCTTGTGAGGACCTAGGTGCTCGGCGAGGCGGGTTTGTGGCTTAAAGAGGGCAGGCGCCCCATACCACCAAGGATCTTGTATCATTTGGTTTCGGAGCCACTTGGGGATGGCCTACCCGCTTCGACTGGGCGCGAAGGCTGGGACAACATCACACGACTCCTTCCCCAGCCTCCGCAATGGAGGTTGAGGAGTCCGATGCAACCCGAGAGGGCACAGCCATGGATGAGTTTGACAGCACACCCCAAGATGGGGCACAGGGCGAGCCCGTGGCACCTAAAGAGAGTGTCAACGAGGGTAACGCATCCCGTGAGGGAATTGGGGCTGTTGCAGAGGAGATAGGCTGAGAGGACATTGCTAAACCCTCTGCTACCCAAGGCGAGACTGGGGAGTAGGATCAGCAAATGGCGGAAGCAAGGGAAGTTCCCACCAAAGCACCGGTGGCATCGGGAACTATAGAAGCATTTCTATATGATGAAGCTTCTGGAAAAGATGGCAGCCATGGTAGCTGCCAGATCACAAGAAGCATGCGACCAGGACACAGCGGCCCAGATTGCGAAGGTGCAGATTGCCGCGGCCTCTGCGCAGAAAGAGGCACGTCGGCAGTAAGTAGCATTGAAAAAGGCCAAGGAGTAGAGCAAAGAAGCGGAAGCCACTAAGGCTTTGGCTCAAGAGCAAGTATCATCCTTGAGTGACAAGTTGCTGAAGTAGAAAGAGCAGGCGTGCGAGGCGGAGGAGAAAGCCACCCAGCAAACCAAGCAGCCCGAGAGGGCCCCCAATCCGACTGGGCCAACGATGCCAACCATTCCAGAAGCGTCTGGGGAGTGGCAAGAACCCGGCCATAGATAAATGAAGTGTCAGAGCCCCTCGCCAGGTGAGGAATATCAGCAGCCTAGAAAAGGCAAGGCAGCAGGCCCATCGGCCAGTATCACAGGCCCATTGGCCAAGATCGCAACTTCTCGGGTCAGATCAGAGGTGCGCCCAAGGACACCTAGTGACAATGAGTAGCTCAGCGGAGTCCTTGATGGAGAGTGCTCATAGAGTTTGTGACCCGAGCCTAAGCAGGCTAACGTTGCTAGAATGGGGTCCCGGGGAGAACACTCGAGTGTTGGAATTCGAGTCGGGTCCCATTGAGCATTACAACAAACCACAAAGGCGCAGAGCCCTTTGGACAACGTTCCATTCAGACCGGCTCAAAGACCTTGACGAAGGCTGAAAAATGGCCTCGGAAAGGTTTGGCATGCGCCTCACCACTGCAAAGCTAATTAAAATTCAACGGTGGTATGGTCCCATCATGGCAAAACAAATTGCCAAGGACGATCCCAACTGGCCAGAAAAAATGGTCTTTGCGCTCAGACACATCCCCGAGCCTTGGGATCTTAGTGATGGCAGCCCTGAGAGGCCGGTTCCGAATGACCCTCATTAGTGATCGGAGGAAATTCTGGAACTTTCTTTTTCTTCATGCGCCTCCCCCTAGCCGGGGGTTATGTTGAAAAGGGTGCAGGTGCATCGTATGGACAAGGCACGAAGGCATGCTCGTAACCAGGAGCGGTTTGCTCATGCTCAGTAGCTCGATGAGTGGAAAGCTCATAGAGACCGTTGTCGTAGGGAGCAGAAAGCTCATTGACATGAACAGGACAAGCACTTGAATCCTAAAAAGTATGAACAGAAGCGAGCAAGGAAACGCCAACGTCGGGCTGAAGTCCAATGTTTTCTTCATGCAGGCGGCAGCCAAAAGGTGTAGCATGTTAAGTCCATCAACTTGGCAGACGAGTTGGACCCAGCGGTGCAGGCCGAGGCATTCAAGTAGCTTGAGAAAGCACCGGCAGACAAAGCACCCCAGGGAGTGGAGTCTAGAGGTGGCCACCCGGATCCGTTAATAGCGGACGGGGGCTGCCGTCCGCTAATATCCTTTAATTTAGCGGACCACGCCCTCTCTGTTGCTGACGTGGCATGGATGGCAGCGGACGGCTGGCCCCAATCAGCGGACTCTGCGGATTCCGCTTGGGTGTTAACGGATATTCTCTTACGGACCGGAAGCCACGTACCCCATCCGCTAATCTAGCGGATGACAGCGGACGTGTGTACCGAATCAGCGGATGACAGCAGAGCCCATGCAGTAAGTACTGATTTCGGAATCTGCAGATCGGGTTGATTGCCAGCGTGGCTCAGCCAGGGTCCACATACAGCGGACGTTGGCTGTGACTGCACACATATTTTGTTGCCCTCCTGTTGCCATCCGCCGTCTCCAACCCCTGCCGCCCCACGCTTGGGTCATGGACCCACCAGGTGAGGCATACCGCGGCACAGGCAAGGCAAGCCGCAGCACAGGCAAGGCAAGGGGACGCCATTAGTACCGCCGCCATGGCGGGAAATGCCGGGCCGCACGGGGGAAGGGGGGTCTCGGATGATCTGTTGGCTGAAAACCTGTGTGTGGCCGGATTCAATCCGCCGGTGATGCACAGGCATAGCGCGCTATCTTGTTTTGTGGTGAGGGCAATGCCCTCAATACCGCCTGCTGTGGCGGGAAATTCCGGGCCGTGGGGGGTGTTGGGGGGGGTCTCGGATGATCTGTTGGCCGAAAACCTATGTGTGGCCGGATGCAATCTGCCGGTGATGCGCAGGCATAGCGCGTAATCGTGTTTTGTGGCGAGGGCAATGCCCTCAGTACCGCCTGCTGTGGTGGGAAATTCCGGGCCGTGGGGGGTGTTGGGGGGGGTTCTCGGATGATCTGTTGGCCGAAAACCTATGTGTGGCCGGATGCCATCCGCCGGTGATGCACAGGCACAGCGCGCTATCCTGCTTTGTGGCCAGGGCAATGCCCTCAGTACCGCCTGTTGTGGCAGGAAATTCCGGGCCGTGGGGGGTGCTACATGGCCACCAACCTGGTGGCACATGGCTGGGTGGGAAGATCATGGCCGGGGACTGACTTCACTCCGGGATTTTGCCTGCGACCCTCACCACCTGTGTTACTATATTCGCAGAGTCCTCAGGCGCTACCAATGCTGAAACGGAAAGCAGGCAGGGGCGCCTTGAACACGATGGACATGTAGGTGCGGTGGACGTGTACCTCTGTGCAGCAAGCCTGAGTGCCGCCTATTGTGGTTGTGTGCTGTGGTTGGTGGCAGTACCCGCCGTCACATGG